CCACACCCACACCTACACCCACACCCACACCCACACCCACACCCCACATCCACACCCGCACCCACACCCACACCCCACACCCTCACCCCACACCCACACCCACACCCCACACCCACACCCATACCCACACCCACACCCACACCCACACCCGCACCCACACCCACACCCTCACCCCACACCCACACCCACACCTACACCCACACCCCACACCCACACCCACACCCCACATCCACACCCGCACCCACACCCACACCCCACACCCTCACCCCACACCCACACCCACAAATAAAATGTATGATATTGGATACATTTTGTGATAGGACTTTGGTAATGGCTGCTCACATTTGGGAGGCAGCCAAAAAAGGAGTTGGTTTAACTGAATTTGGTTTAATAGAATCTGATATTAATAATGAACGTAATGGATTACTGTTGCATGAGTCTATCGAAAAAGCCTTTGATCATCAACAACTATGCTTTATTTACAATCCATTTAGTGGTTATTTACATGTGAAGATATTATGTATTAATTTGAAAAATATGCTTATCATCGATGATCCACAAATGAGAATTAACTTAAATGAAAGAAGAAAATTTAATGATATTGATGGCAATACTTTAATATTAGCAAAAGATATATATCCTTATGGCCGTCTTCTCAATCGGCATGCAAGATGTGCTTATAAAAGAGGTAAGCTTAACAAATGGATTGACGATAATGAAAAATTTGAAGGTTTTTTTTATTCATGTGGCTTAGTTTCATTACCAGGTGATGATCGTGATGAATAAACTGATTCTATATCTTTCTTTTGTTGATGCTTTTTTTTAATGTTTTTCTTATTATTAAATAAAACATATTAAATATCATAACTACTATTGTATTAACAAAATCTACTCAAATAATAACTACGGCTATCGAATAGTTAATGGTTGATCGTCAATAACATTTTCTTGAAATGAAATTTTTTCAATCATGTTCAACAATAAATAAATATTGAAATATCATGAAAGAAGATCTTGTAGATTGGCTTTCATATATGTATCTAATTAGAATGGCATCCAATTATTGCTGATAATTTTCTTGAATGTTTAGATAAGAATTTAACCATCAACATCTCTTTTTTTTATTCTATTATCTCAGAATAGTAACAGATAATAAAATATTAGTATAGAAATCAGAACAATTAGTTGTTACTTACTTTAACATTTTTTTTCATGTCATCTATCTATTGACTTTTCTTTTCTGCCTTGAGCATAGAATGATGGTAGAAATAGAAAGTTGAAGTATTCGATTAGAAAAAGACAAAATGTTCACTTGAATGATTTAATAAAATACATCTAATTTTTTCGAAAGTCAAAGTTCCGTTTTTATTCGAAAGGCGAACTTTTTACGCTTGTTAGATAGTCATAAGCAGAAGAAATGGTAAGCATGACTAAGTACAAATGATGCAGATAGAAAAACATAGGCTACCGGACAGTTGACAGAATATAACCTGAAGCTACTCAATATAAATAGATTACTCTCGGACACTAGACCAGGGCTGTCGCGAAGGGTTAAAGATTGGGGGGGGGGGTTGAAAAATTTTTCGAATATTTGTCAAAAACTTCTATAAATTATCGGCATTTTGAAACAAATTTTGGAAACTTTTCGAAAATTTTTCAAGATTTTTGAAAATGTTTGGTGAGTTTTTGAAAGTTTCTCGAAATTTTTTGAAAATTTTTGGTGAGTTTTTGAAAGTTTTTCGAAATTTTTTGAAAATTTTCGAAGATTTTTGAAAATTTTTCGAAAATTCTTCTGAAATTTTTGAGAATTTAATAAGAATTTTTAAAAACCATCAAGCAGAAAAAACAAAATTTCCGAAGATTGGGGGGGTGTGACCCCCTTCCCCCCCCTCCCCCCGGTCGCGGCAGCCCTGCACTAGATACATGTTAAGATAATGTTTAGAAAATGGTGTTCTTCTCTGTTAACATGCGAATAATGTCAACAATGCTGTACGGAAAGCCTCTTCATTAAAACTAGCACCACCAGCACCATCATTAAGATCGACACTTGAAAATTGTAAATATCATTCTGATGCTCGTGGTAATATTTCTCAATTTGTTAAATGGCCATGCCGTGTCGTAGGTGTACGTGAAATTTTAATGTTGAATCTCATGATATTATTTTATGAAAAAATGAAAAGGGTGTGGGTGCGGTGGTGGGTGTGAATATGGCTGTACTTCAAGACTCCAAACCGCACCCACACCCCACACATCAACACCCACACCCAGCCATACACCCACCCTAATTAACCCATGTACATAAATGTACATGGTTTTAGCGACAGCAACAAGTTCCAAAGAACTAAATCAATACAAGCGCTTGTATTGATAATTATATCAATCACAATGAAACAATTAGACTAATAACAATATAAATATAAATGTTCACAAACAACATCTATTCATATGTCTGAATGATGAACTCAGATTGAGTTCGAAAGCTCGCACATACATTGTAATTACTTGTTAAGTAATATCAAAACAAAAATGTTTTTCATAGCAGTTCTATACTTCATATACTCAAAATTACAAATCAATGCTTCAACTAATGGATTATAAATTAGTTTCGTTTATATTTAATAAAAATAAACAAATCTGATTATCATGACCATGATGTGGTGTATGATCTTTTGCTTCCGAATATTCGACAGGTTCATGTTTCTTCTTTTCTACCCTATCAGCATGTTCTATATTTTAATTAAATTTAATTTAATTATAAACAAACAAAATCTTTTACTATGATAAGGTTTGCCTTCGGAATTAACATCAACACCAGACATTCCTTTGGTAACGTTTGAATTCGACATATATACTTTAAATATCTAATAAAGAAAGAATGGTAGAAGTTCAACACGAACATTGCGGATATAAGTGATGTACGCCGAAGGGCAATGAATACGAAAGAAGAATGAAACTAGACCTCCACTTGACCGAAGCTCCAGTAGAAAAGCCGGCTGACTGCATAAGCTCCGAAAATACCAGAAGACGATCCTATACGACATCTGCTGATCCGAAATTTAAGGCTCGCGTAGAGAAAATCAATGTATTTCAGTCACGTCCAACCATCTTGCCTCTCGCGTACGACTACATAAATGTAGTGCTTCGCACAGCATTAAATAAAGAGAAAAGTTAGGCGCCATTGTGTTTTGTTCATCTGTCAAACAGCTGTAATTACAGCTGATTGTAGATAATGAATCATATTGATAATGAAACGATCAATCGAAATCGTCCTTCAGAAAAGTGTTCATAGGCTTTCATAGAGTTCTCGTGGCGATCAATTTTATTATGGTACTTTTCAATTTTCTCACGACTTATATCAGCTGATTCGTGGAAAAGTAATTGTTCGAATTCGAATGATGCGGAGAAGTGTCTATGTTCGGTAGTCGGTACATAATTCAAGTAGAAATGACGATTACTACTAATTTGACAATCGAATTCTCGTTTTCTACAAAGTACCGTTTTTTCGAACATTCGAGAGATTCGTGCTTCGCATCGCATTTCGTATTCGAGTCGAAACTCGAATACCATCTAGTTTTACTTTCTCGACGTACGCACATCAACTCGTCATTTTGTGTCGCGATGATCTCGAGAAGCGAGAGTCACAAAAAAAACACTTGAAACGCGAGGTACAAGTATGAAGATCAAACTGCTGACATATTTTTTCCATTCTTTAATCGAACATTCTGTTCAGTCACAAATATCGTTTCAAAAAAGACAAATTTGACAGGACTTAGAGCTTCCTTTATTTCGAAATAATTAAAATGAAAACTTGAAAAAAGTCAGGTGCCACTCTTTTTCATATATATCAAGCAGCTGTGAATACAGCTGTTTATAGATAATGAATCATACAGATAATTCTAAACGATCAATCGAAATCGTGATGCAGAAAAGTGTTCTTAGGCTTTCATAGAGTTCTCTTGGTGATGAATTTCATTATGGTGCTTTTGAATTTTCTCACGACTTATATCCGCTGATTCGTGAAAAAAGTAATTGTTCGAATTCGAATGATGCGGAGAAGTGTCTATGTTCGGTAGTCGGTACATAATTCAAGTAGAAATGACGATTACTACTAATTTGACAATCGAATTCTCGTTTTCTAAGAGATATCGTTTTTTTCGAAAATTCGAAAATATTTGTGCTTCGCACCGCATTTCGTTTTCGAGTCGAAACTCGAATACCATCTAGTTCTTTTTGATTAGCTTGATTCAGAAAAAGATCTCGATGAATAATAATAATAATAAAACAATCTAACTAATGTAATCGAATTTTCCAGATTTTTTTTAATTGAATTTATTTACCATCGCGCACAATAGTTATTAGAAAAAAAAGAAAAAAAAAAGAAAAAGCAATCTCCATTTTCATGATGAAATCATAGGAAAAGAAAACAACAATGACCACAATAGGTTGTTTATAAGCTTAAGAACAAATCGATCGCTTAATAATAATGGTATACATGACAGGATCATGTATATAAGGAAGACCGAGAGAAATAGAAGACAGAAAATACAATATGTTTATATGTCCCTCAGTCATTATTATCATCATCATTATGAATAGTGCTGTACAATAAACCAGTAAGGAACGAAAGACAATCAAAAAATAGGTGTAGAAGTGAAGTATGGAAGACAAAAAAAAAAGAAAAGAAAACATGTGTGATTCATATGACTTTAAATAACTACTGAAGAACATCGGTGATGATGGTTATGGATTAAATTAATACTTGTGTATAATAATTGAATGAAAACTTGGTCATAGATCATATGGTATAAATGGTAACGTTGAAGCATCTTCTGTCGGATGTAAATCAGTTGATATAGATTTACATTCAAGTCTAAATAATAATAAAAAAGAAAAAAAACATGATTCTTTCTTAGTTTTGTATAATAGAAAAAAAAAATCTTTAATAATAAATTTACATACATTAAATCAAGATATGAATTCGTTGAATTGGTTAAACAAACTGAATGTCGATAAAATAATAAACGTTTTCGTAAATTATGTGCAATGCGTCTGGCATCATTAAGTCTTTCTAATAATTGTAAATAAATTGAACTATCTCCATATTGTTGTTTTAAATAATCTTTTAATGAATCAATTATTTTTTGATAAAGTTCAGTAACTGTTGATGATAATGGTGTTTGATGATAAATATAATCTAAAAAAGAAAAGAACTTCTTTTATATTTGCGATAAAAATTTTTGTTGTTTTTCTTTTTACCTGTATTATTTGAATCAAGTAATAAAATTGATGATAATGTAGCTGCAATAATTGAATCAATTTTATGAATTTTTAATGTTGATGCATAATCATAGATTTGTTGTGCAACATCACCAAGTAAATAATTCATTTGTATTTTGTGTATAACAACACCTGAACATAATATAACACGATCACCATCAAGACGTACTGCTGTACGAAATATAATTTGTTCTAATAAACAATTTGAAAAAAGACGATCACGTTCATTATTTTGTATTGAATAAAATAATGAAAATTTATCAACCCATTGTTTTATTATATCGCATGAACGTGATAAAGCATCATAAACAAGTAATTTTTCTTCACATAAATTTTCTTTACTTGTCACTGTTCGATACTGAAGAAAAAAATAGAAAAAGAATAAGACCTTAATCATATGTATTTAGTTGTAAATTTACATTCAATTTGCTAAAATCAAGACTGGCCGGATTTGGTATGGAATCATTATAGAAACGGCAAAATTGTGTTTGAAAACTATTCGGTTGTCG